CAAGGCCCATTTGAATGGGCCGGCTTTGGCATAGTTTGGCCCATTCACACTCGGATGCATAGACTCATACATGCATAGGCATTTTAGATTGGTAGATTGGTTTTCAGCACCAATATCCACAAAAAAAAAAAAAAAAAACAAACTTTATTTTTGTAATTATTAAAAATAATTCATTTCCTTAACTAGATTTCATACACAAAATGTTTAATTTCAATATTTTTGTAATTATTTCGTCCCATAATTTAATAATGTCATTCATGCGACCAATCTAGACTTGATTCTATACCTTAACATTTAATAAAATTGATGAGTTGGTTTGCTCACGCCAGAAAAGCTACCACTTTTGTTTTGTTTTTTTCTTTTTCAATTCTTTTTTACGAATAATAAACCCATTTTCCCCTCTTCCAACCAATTATCCGATGTGGATTATAAAAATATAAAAGAAACAATTAAACAAAAAAATAGCACACAAACAGACAAATTAATAATAATAATAATAAATAATAAATAAAAGAAGAAGAAGAAAATATGGCTTTGCCTCTTTACGTCTGCAAAGGACATGCTTCTCCATAGGCTCCTCAAAAGCGAGATTCCAAATTCCCACTACCACCTTTACACATTTTAATTCTTTTTATTTTATTTTATTGTATTAATGCAACTTGTTTATAGCATATACAATTATGATATATCTATTTTCTTGGAATATAATAATAGTAATAATAAGTCATAATTTTAACTCTAATTAATTTTATTTGAAATACATTCGATAATCTTCTTCGTCTTAGTTTTAAATTTACACTCATATCTATTCGATAAAATTCTTGTTTTTTTACATGCGTATCTAATATTTATTATATTCTATATATATTGAAATAAACAAAATAAATAGACAAAGTGATAGTGATGCCAAGTGAATGTGATAAAAGGGTTTATAGAATAATAAGAACCACAAATATTTAATTAAAAAAATGATGGCCTTACAATGGCATAAAGACGCTAAGCCACACTATATTTGTATTCTAAAAATAAAAATTAATTCTATTGGTGGAGAAAAATGGAATTTGTGGTCGCATTTAGTGATGGAAATTGGAAAACGACCCAATATTTTAAATTTTATTATTATTCTGAACGCTAAAATTTAACTAAAATAATTAATTCAATAAAATATAATAAGAGAGAATTCAAATGAGGATCCAACGTGAGCCGCCTACAAACATTATAAATTTAAGTCCAAATATTAAATTCACATTTTAAATTGGAGGGGTCTTCGTATTTTCTACGTAATACTAATTATAATAATAAAAAATTCGTAATCCACCAGAAAAGTTTATTTAAAAATTAAAAGAAAAATAAATACGAGGAATTTGATAGCCATAGAATCTTTATTTATATATATTTTTATTTATTTTTAATCTAAGAATCTCTCAGGTTCTATGCCTAAATTTTTTTTGGTGGGTTTTTGATAAGAGAAAAAGATGGCACCTTTTATACTAATTTTTAAATTACCATTTTAAATTATAAATATCAAAATAAAATATATTAGAATGTATTAAGATATGATATTTGGAGAATATATTTTAATAATTAGTTATGGAGTAGTTAGTAGCCTATTTTATCTTATGATTGGATTAGCAGTATAATTTATCTTATTTACAATATTTGATTAGTTATATATTTTTCCTGATATTAGTTGATAGTTTGTATCCTATATAAATCGTTGTAAACATAAATGAAGATCATAGATCCCAATTCTATTTATATTTCTCATTCCCAATAAATTTTTTGATCCAATGCTACATTTTTTTTTAATTTAAACAAATAAAAATGGAAAAAATAATAAATTTTTTTTAAAATAAGATTAAAATAAAATTATATTTGTACAACACAAATTAAAACTACTTTCTTTTCCAAAAGCAAAGCACTAAAAAAACATTTTTTTTTAATGGGAGGCTTGACCATGGGGATCCCGGTTGAAGTACGTGACGAAAGCAGTGAGCGCCGCGCGTCTAGGGGACTTGAATTCTGAACCAGTAATAATCAGCCACGTAAGCAAAAAGACGAGGCGGCTCTAATCCGTAATATCGTCCAGGTTCAATGAACCACAAACGTCTTCCTCTCTGGACCATCGATATTTATCGTTCCATTTTGCTTTCAGTATCAAATTATCAATACGGTGTTGGAAAGCTCAGAGAAACACAAATTTCTTAGAAAGAGCGTTCGAAGAAGAAGCTTTTAGAGCGAGTTCGATTCTACAATGGCGCTTGCTTCTTCTTCTTCAGCTTCTGCGATTACTGGTTCCAGTTTCTCTCGTTCCATTTCCGCCTCTGAGCCTAAAGGTACTTTTAATTTCTTTCTTTTTTTTTTGTCACTCAATGTTTGTGCTTTTATGGTTTAATTATGATTGCTTGCGGAGAAGCGTGTTGGTGGATGGAAAACAAATTCTTCTTTATGTTTAATTAGATTCGCCAATTCCTCTTATGGAAGTCATCTTGTCAAGCAATGGCTGCTTGTTCAATTCTAGATTTGCCTTTTTTTTTTTTTTAATATTGAAATTGACATCAAAATGGGCAATGAATCCACTATTCTTCATTGGAGACAAGCGATTCTTTGTTTGACCGTTTTAATTTGTTGCCCTTTTTGTTATGAATGGCTAGATTTACGTCGCCGTGTTATAGTGTTTTGCTCTGAATTTCTGTACTCCTCTTTAACAGAATCGTTTTTCAATTGTTCTTTTCTATACTCAAGTCTGATGTGTTTGTTGGACCTTTGCAGCCCCGCAAATTGGTTTGGTTAGGTTGTTCAGTAGGCCTAATTTGCCAGCCTCGTCTGTGAACTATTCGCAGAGACGATGCTCTGTAGAGCCTCTACATGCCGAACCAAAACGGAACGACTCCGTTGCTCCTCTGGCAGCTTCCTCCGTTGCCCCTGGTGGGTCTTCTTTCTCTTTGTTAATTTTCGTTAATTTTCCTAGCAGGAATTCTTGATGGCTTTACGAGGGCTTCTGAGTAGGAATTTGGTGTTGGCAGTGAAATTGATGTGTTTATACATTCATTGCAGGGGTGGTTGAGGAAGTGCAGGTTGAGGACTACGAGGGTTTAGCTAAAGACCTTGAAAATGCTTCACCCCTTGAAATTATGGACAAAGCCCTAGAGAAATTTGGCAATGATATTGCTATTGCTTTCAGGTAACACGTCTGAACCGATCAATATGGCAAAGTTAATGTCTAGATGTGTATTAATTATTCTTAATATTTTAAACACTTCAATTAAAAATTTGTTGGAATCCAGTGCGGCCCTATTAGGAGAAATACATATAAAATTTTACATTGTATGCGGATATTGTCGTAATCATAACTTTTCAGAAGAAAAATGGATTAAGAATTAAAAGACTTTCAAAATTTTGTTGGTCAGCGGCGCTAATGGCACTTCAATCATTCTCACGTTTTTCTTTATTTTTATTGTACAAGAAATTAAGTTTTTAATGTTCTTTCCTGCAGTGGTGCTGAAGACGTTGCTTTGATCGAGTATGCCCATTTAACTGGTCGGCCATTTAGAGTTTTCAGCTTGGACACTGGAAGATTGAATCCAGAAACATATAAATGCTTTGATGAAGTGGAAAAACATTACGGCATCCATATTGAGTACATGTTCCCTGATGCTGTTGAAGTTCAAGCATTAGTCCGAAGCAAAGGGCTGTTTTCCTTTTACGAGGATGGGCACCAGGAATGCTGCCGTGTGCGCAAGGTGAGGCCTCTGAGAAGGGCCTTGAAGGGACTGCGAGCATGGATCACTGGTCAGAGGAAAGACCAATCCCCTGGAACCAGGTCTGAAGTTCCTGTTGTGCAGGTGGACCCTGTTTTTGAAGGGCTGGATGGTGGTATTGGTAGCTTGGTCAAATGGAATCCGGTTGCTAACGTTGGCAGTAAAGACATATGGGACTTCTTACGATCCATGAATGTGCCGGTTAATTCATTGCACGCACAAGGATACGTCTCAATTGGGTGTGAACCATGCACGAGACCTGTCTTGCCATGGCAACATGAGAGGGAAGGAAGATGGTGGTGGGAGGATGCGAAGGCTAAGGAATGTGGTCTTCACAAAGGAAACCTTAAGCAGGAAGATGCAGCCGAGCTAAATGGCAATGTAAAGGGAGACTCTACAGATGTGGATATTTTTGAGTCTCAGAATTTGGTGAGCTTGACAAGGGATGGAATAGAGAATTTGGCAAGATTGGAGGGTAAAAAGGAACCATGGATTGTTGTTCTGTACGCACCTTGGTGCCGCTTCTGTCAGGTAAGATGCCATGTTTTTAATATAATCTCTTCTTTTCCTCGTCATTTCACGATGATATTACCCATCTTTATTATGAGATTGTTTACAATTTCCATCTATTCAAATTGAGCAGGCAATGGAAGGCTCCTATGTTGAATTAGCTGATAAGCTAGCGGGGACAGGAGTGAAGGTTGGGAAGTTTAGAGCCGATACGGCGAAAGAGTTTGCACAGCGAGAATTGCAGCTAGATAGCTTCCCCACCATACTCTTCTTCCCTAAACATTCCTCTCGGCCGATCAAGTACCCCTCGGAGAAGAGAGATGTTGACTCGCTTATGGCTTTTGTGAATGCTTTCCGATGATCAATACACAGTTGAGGCCATACACCTATACAAAAATGAGGCCAGCGATTGAGTCAATGACACAGTTGACACAGGATGCAGTCTAAAATTTTCGCATAATCTAGAGTACCGTTATTCCATGTAGATTTTTGGGGTTTGGGTCTGTCCTATCTTTATAGTCTCGGTAAATATCCGTGTAGGATTGATTGTTGTTGTTATCAAATCAGCTAAGCATAAACAGTAAGTTGTTTGTTATGAAATTCAGGTTTGATTAAGTGGAATGTTTTGAGTTTCCCTTCTCAAGAACTTGGGTTCCTTTAAGAATACATCATTTGGTCCACGCCGAAACCAATATCAATCACAAGTGCTCAGGATCTTTCGATTCTGATAAAATAGAGCATTCAATTAGATGTTCAACTTGATGGAGTATCATCAGGTGCTTCCAGTCTTAAATAATCGTATAAAAGTCCACAGAGTTCATCTCCACCTCTTGCCTGCGTCAGAAATATGGAGTTATCTCCCTTAATAAGCATTGATGATGGAATCTCAACACTATAATTTCGATACAGTCCATGATTTCCATGTCGGCAAACTGTGTTATCCATTCCCAGATTCATCAGCTGGAAAACCAGTGACGACTCCGACCCCATTGAGTTGACATTGATCTGCAGGCATAAAATGAAACAGTTTATGAGAGAAACCAAGAGCAAGCCATTTCTCCAACGTTTTCCTGCTTGCTTTTTGTACCTTCAAGTCCGAGCGTGTGGCGGATGCAATCGCCAACCTCAGCCGGTAAGTTCCTTCGGTTAATGATGTCATGTTGAACTTAATACTCCATGTTGTTGCAACAAACTTACCATCTTCCCCTCTTCTACAGAATAGCAGCAGTCACCGTCAAGTGTATTTTAACGTTCATCTTGTCATTATATATGATGGGTTGCAAGTACAAACCTGCAAACTTGAGCAAAGAACCAATCTTTTTTCGGATCATTGATACCCACAGTGAAAACTTGGTCATTTATTGGATGTAAATCACTGTATCCCTCCCATAAACCATATTGCCTGAACCTGGATTTGGTACACAATCAGATACAGGATATATTGCCTACAAATTTCCAAGTAACCAAGTATAACTCACTTTTCAGGGCTGTGAAGAAATAACTTGTTGACATACATCGGATTCACATCAGGAACATAGAAGCTACCAGCTGTTCGATCAGGAAAACCAATCTCCCAAACAGTAGGACCATCTCTGAGGGGACTATAGGTCAGAATGCCAAGATGGGTATGAGATCCTGATCAATATCAACAACTATCACAACTAGTTGAAGTAGTAGCATCGTAATAATTGTATTAGACGTAGGAAACAGATAAACTTCAGTGAAGAACAGCAAAAGGACCTGCAGATACTGTTACTAGTGATTGGTGAAGATAATCACCAATGAATCCAGGAACCCAACCGTGAAGTCCATAGACTCCTGGAATAACGTTTCTGATAGTGAAATCTCCATTGGAATCTGTTTGTACCCAAAATTGATATTCCTAGACGAAGTTATGAAATCGAAGTTGTTATTAAAGTTTATGAGAGTAACAAGTGCAAGAAAGTTCCTGTCCTAGGAGAGGTAAGGAATAGCTTTCACCTTGCTCTCTATTTGCCAGCCACCTTCTTCTCTAGCAGCAGATAAACCAACATGTGCATCTCTCGCAGGGATGGGGGAACTTGAAATAAACCTGGCGAGAGAACGAAAGAGAAAGTCACCGAAAGGAAAATCACCATTCCTTAGAAATGGAAGCCAATTTTACCTGTCTTGGACTAACAGTCTTCCTGAAATGGAACCACGTTCATTTTCCTTGAAATAAAAAGATGAAGACACAAAATTGTATGGCCATGCTGTTTCCTCTAGCACTCTCTGTCACGAGGCTGTGGATCAGTTCCCTGCAACATGTTGAAGAATGCAGGCACAGGTTGAGAGAGTTGGATATCAAACAAATACCTGTTCTTTTGCATCCATCCATAAATTGTGAGCCTCTGATACATCTGAGGTGGAGTTAAGGTATACAAGAACAGGACCAAACACCTTCCTCCATGCCTCTCCTTCCTTAATATGTGTAAGTATATCTTCTCCAATGTAATGTGTTCCATGAAACATCTGTTGCATCAGATGATCAAACATTTCTTCTACACCAAATGTTATGACCATTGAATTGGAGCAGAGGTAAGAAAAAAACTTACAGCAAGACATGTAGGACCGGTATGAACTGTGAGATTTTGCTTTGTTGGACCGCCATTTCGGAACTCATGGCTTGGAAAAACTACCCAGAAACCTATGTTGTTTGGGCTGGAACTAATCCATCCATGAACTCCACCATCTTTGTTATCCACTGAGTATTGGTACTTATCATCTACCTGCATTTAGTCCATATGTTCAAGGCAATCCTTTTGTCTAGTGCAGGTAAAGCAAATAATTTAGGCATACATTCTCACCTCTCCTTTCAGATCAGGATTAATGGGATTTACAAGCAGAACTGACTCTGGTACAATTAGTTCTTCACCTCTTCCTGGATGCAAATCTTCTGGCATTGGCATTATTCTTTGCTTCTCGTCTGAAATTGCCATGTAGTGGAACCTAATTTGACCCTAAATTGGTGAGCCAAACAGCACAAGCCGTGCATAGGCTGGGGCAGAAATACTACTTACTTTTCTTGTCGTAGTTTAAACACCATTCTTGTCTGAACAAGATCGAAAGCCCGACATGCCGATGGGTGCTCGTAGATTGCATAGCAGTAGAAGCCTGGCATACCAGTCCTCATTATGTACCTAGAGGACAACTTAGAAGCCTGAGAAATTCAGCAGAATTTAGAGATCTTATTTGAATGTACAACCTTATGTCTACACTAAGTGGAAGTTTGTTGCCTCGAGTTGATGGGTTGAAAACTTTCCTGAACGATATCTCGATCGTGTCGTCAGTTGCATTGATGACATTAAACTCAGATCCCTTAAGCCTGCAAATTTAAAAGGATTCAAGGTTAGTATCCTCAATCGTGTCGTCAGTTGAACGATATCTCGATCATGTCGTCAGTTTCCTATGATTTGAGGACAACAATCTAATGAAGGTAGCATACAATTGGTATCTGTCCTTGCCACCAGGCCAACTCCAGTTGATATCCCAATATCTGCACGCAGGAAACAAGTCTCAAAAGTAGTTGCACGAAATCCTCCTGAGTGTCTGAAAATTGAGTTACCCTCTTTTAGATTCGCTGGATTTGACATCTAGCAGATTGTCCATGTTTCCATACTTGATGCCACTAACATAGCCTTGGGGGTTGGATATGGTCACCATCAACAATCCATTGTCCAATATAACCTGCAAAGAATCATAGCACACAAGGATTACAGAGAATCTGATGACGAGGAAGCAAGAGGCATAGGGCTGCTCAAAACTAACATGGGAGCCTTGGTTTTGCAGCCTCAGCTTCTTCTTCTTCCCCATTGTAGAACCTCTACTTTTCTTACCATCACTCTCATCTTCTTTCGTATATAGGTCAGCTGGTCGTTGGTTACTAAGAGCATCACAAGATTTGGACACCTTCTTTCTTGTTTGCATCAAACTACAATTATGATATGAGAAAGTAACGAAGAATTGGCTTTACATTTTTGTAAGTAGCTTTTCAAAGTACCATTTGACGTTCTTGTCGTCGTTGTCGTTGTCGTTGTCTTCATAACTTTTCTATATCATCGTACCCGAGAGCAGAGCCCTTCTCTATGGTTCGGCTCTATTCCCTCCGAGTCCCGGCGAATTATTATTATTCTTTTGTATAGTTACCAAATCAATCTTGACCTTTTTATGGCAGAATGGTTAAATGATTGAATGTTGGCCATTCGAGAAAATCTTGCTCTTGTTGTGTATTATTATAATCATAACTGAATCCCAACCCACCAAATTTTCTAATGCTTCACCAACACTCCTATAAAAGCTTACTCTTCCTTTCATTTTTATTTATTTATTGTACTTGGTCCGGTTAGACGTTAGACGAACACGACTCTCCACAATAGTATGATATTGTTCACTCTGAGTATAAGCTCTCATGGTTTGCTTTGGGCCTCCCAAAAGTCTCACCCCCAATGGAGAGAACACGACTCTCCACAATTGTATGATATTGTCCCCCCTGAGTATAAGTTCTCGTGGTTTTGCTTTGGACTTCCCAAAAGTATCACTCCAATGGAGAGAGTATTCTTTGTTTATAAACTCATCCATCATCCAACAGGCTCCGCCTTTTCAATCCTTTTTTAAAATAAATAAAAAACAGTTTTTTCTTTGAAATTCATGAAAATGTCAACAAGGCATATCAAAAGTCAAAGACACAGCGAATTAAATAATAATAATAATACACCAACCGCTAAAAAAATATTCAACCAAAATTGTAGGTATGTATATTGGTCAACAATGATTTTTACTATACACGATTGGACGAACAGAACGTTTCTCATCCCAAAAGAATCAACGAATCAGAACTTCAAAATAATAATTAAATAAATAAATCAAAACAGTTTGCTAGCGAATTCATCCATGGAAATCCCTTCTTGTCTAGCCGCAGCAGATTTGGCAGCCAATTGTCTGAGCTGAGATAAGCTTCTTCCCAATTTCAAAGCCACCTTCCTTTCGAACACTTCCCCATTTTCCCTCTTCTCCCAATTTGTCTCCTCCAGCGTCCCTCTAATGGATTCCTCCATTACCCCGAAGAACCCCGCCGAGTTTCTGTACATCTCAAACACCATCCCAATTTGCCCACCGTGTTCTAACGCATTCATGGCGGCCGCCAAAGAACCGGCCGCCGCCGCCACCACCATCCCCCCGGATGACCAATCACCCACGAAAGCAGAACCCAAAGCCGCAATGCCGGTGAGAAGAGGGCCCGAGATTGCCAAACTCTTATGAACCTTCAATACTAAATTCCCAAGTCTAGCGTAGTCTCGAGCGTCTTTTGTCTTCATGACTTCAACAACTTCTCTCATTTCGGCTTCAAGTTGATCGCTCCATCCATTGGAACCTTGTCGTTGGTTTCCATCAAAATGGGCGTTTTCGTTTTCCGTCTTAGATTCGTCAGAATGAGAAGAATTGGGCCACCATGAAGCCGGCTCGAGCTTTTTGGGGAATTTTTCAAGCATTACACCAAGTAAAGGAAGTGGGTATGCTCTATCAAGCGCCAACACCTTTTCCATGGCGGAATCGACGTCCCTTTGAGTGGGAGCTCCAACCGTAATCAAGGTTTGGATTTGGGTTTGGAGCTGCTTGAACAATCTAGCTGCATTTCGCTGCTCCTCAGCCAGCTGTGAGGGTTGGATTTTGTTAACCATAACCAACATCCCTGTTGCGGCAGAGAAGAGCAGAGCCGAGGAGAATTTCAAAGCCAAAAGAGGAGCTCCAAGGGCTCCGACAGCGGGGGCGGTGGCGGCCATAACAGAGGCAGCGAGAGTGATCATGTTGATGGAATTGAGGAAAAGGGAATTCCAGTTGTCACGCTGTTGGCAGATATTGTTGTGCATCTCTACCCTGTCAGCTACGATGTCCAAGATGGCGTGGAGGTGCGATGTGAGGGGGGATTGGGTAGGAGGAACGATATTAAGGGGTTGGTTTAAACAAAGCTCTTCAATGAGCTTGAGGGAGGCGGTGGAGGTTTTGGGGAGTCTGGGAACAGAGACACGGAGACTGGGAAGCTTTGGGACGTGAATGGAAGCTTGGGTAATTGTTTTTCTTGAAGAAGGGAGGAGAAAAGAAGGTTGTAAGGAAGCCATTGTTGGAACAAGTTTGGAGCTTGTATCTAATGGGGGCTTGTTTGAGAAGGTTTTGTATGGAATTGAAGTGGGAGGGTATCTAACGGTGGCTGGGGTTTTATAGGGGAAACGAATTGAAGGGTCAGATAGCAACAAATTTTGACTAGCAGGCTGAATTGACTCGGCTACCTAGCTGACTCGTGCTTCCTGACTCGTTCCCCCCATTTTTGTGTTTAAAATTACGATTTGTTCAAAAATATTACATTCTTCTCGCTTGGATTAGGTCTCCCAAAACAACGGTGCCGTATCATCCTACGTCCTTCTATATTTGACGCTTCATTTCTTCTTCTTTGGCTGGACATTTGAATTGAATCATTTTTTTTCCATAATTCTTTTTAATCTATTGTCATTTTTAATTTATTTAACAAACCCCCAAAACATATGTTTAGCCCCTTTTTTCTTTTTTTTCCATTTAAGTGAATATATATATATATTAATTATGTTATTGAATTATTGGTTTATGCGCATCCATTCAAATCTCAAACTTATAATTATATCGATTTAAAATCTCAAACTAATAATTATATCAATTTAAACTATAATCTTTTCATAAATAAAATAATTTAGGTCATTATTCTAATTACCCTTTCTTTCGTTTAAAATTAGCTCCAAATTATTATATCTAAAAATTTCAATGAAAGTAGGAAGAAAAATGATAAAATTATTCTTTCTAAATAAGTGTAGTTTAATTAAATTATAATATATATTTTCTCTAATTTACATTAATAATTGTAAAATTTAGAAATTTTATACAAATATAAAAAGTAAGCATTAAAGATTTTAAAACCAAATTTGAGTGAATGATGTAAATTGATTCAATTATGGGGTTAAATGGATATAATTAATATTTTAGATTTTAATTCATATAATCTCCAAAATTTTAAGTATAAATGGATTCTATTTTTTTATTTTATTTTCCTTTATTAATGAATGGAGATGCTACTTAGATTCTTAATGATATGACAAATTTAGAGTCTGTGTTGATTCACTTGGATAATATATATATTTTTTTTTTAATAATTCTCCCCTTATAATATTTTTTTAATATATACAAAAACTAATATTTCTTTTCATAATTAATTTTTTTACTTTTATTTATAAAAAAAAATCGGTTGTATAAACATTACTTCATCTATTAATTTGTTTGTTTGGTACTTTCTGCCAATATATTAAAATTAAAAAAAACATAAAAAGAAAAAAGAAAAGTAGAAAAATAAGGAGAATGAGAACTAAATTAAGAGAGAAGTCATCGTTGGACTTGGTCCCCGAGCAAAACGACGCCGTATGAGGTTATACGCAAGCAAGCAGTAAGTTTGACTGTTGATTTGTTGTATGCCTTTGAATTGACAATTAAGTCTATTATTTTAATCGGTCCATGCAAACATTCAGGACGTATAAAATTGTTGGTTTTTCGGTTTTTTTAAGCTATCGTGTCGTGGTTTTATATATATATATATTATTAATTATTATTATTATTACTATAAATAAATAATAAATAACATATACTTTAATTTGTCTAAATGTTATAGGTTGTTCTAATTTAATTGTGGTCAAATAATTCGACCCACTCCATAATATTTTACCCATTGTCAATTACATCACTCAAATGACATTAATAATCTCTTTCTTCTACATCCAACTTTCTTATTTCCATTTTTTATCCTTTATTTATATTACTATTTTTTTTTTAACAAGTTGAGAGTTGAATTATAATTAATTGATTCAATATCATATTATATAGTAATATTCCAACCACTTTTTTATTTTTGTGTATGATCTTCTTATTATTATTTTTTTTAAATAAAGATAAAAGCTTACTTTTGTAATTATATTGAATCGAGACGAAAACCAAAAACAATTAGTCAAACATATGAATTTGACTATTTGATTTATTCATTTGGATTTGCAGAAAAAAAATATTTTTATTGATAAATTTATGAATTGTATCAATTTTAAATTTGGAAGTCGATGAAACTGCTATCGTTGTTGTCGCTTGGATCTCATTCACTACTGTCGTTGTTGGTAATGACACTGAAGACGAGAAGAACACAAGAGTGTGGTTGTTTACGTGGATATCCTATTTTTTAGAGTTAGATTTCTTATCTTTATGATGGTGGCGTCTAGCCTAGAATTATTTAGTTGTTCTTATTTTTTTTTTTTTTTTTAAGTAATAATACATGACATTGTACAAGAACTACCTTTGTGTTATTTTTTTCTTTTAACACTAAATTCAAATAAAAGCTTCTACTTTTCTACAGATATAGTATTTAATTATAATTGGAAATTTTAAGTAAGTTTTAACTAAATATTAAATTCATAATAAATATATCATAATTATGTATTTTTGTATATTGGTTTTATTTAGCTAAAATGGATTAAAATTTTTAAACTTTACAAAGTATTTAATAGCTTCACACTTCAATTTTTTTTTTGTCATTTCAACTTTTTGTCGAATATAATTTTTATTTTAAAATTGTCATATAGAATAATAATTTATCAGACAAAAGTAAAGATTAAGAGATTATTATTATTATTATTATTATTATTTAAAAGTATATATAGAAATATGTTAAATGAAAGATTCAAATCTGTAAAAAAAGAAGTATATATATGGAAATATTTTAAATAAGAGATTCAAGATATCTCTTTAAAAGTAAAACTCATTAATTAGTGTGATTTTAATCCAAAGGTTAAATTCGGAATATCAATATATATATTTATTATTATTATTATTATTTACATGCTCGGATGAACATAACGTACGTTTCCCATCTCAAGGAATCAACCGATCAGAAATTGTAGAATAATAATAATAAAATTTAAAAAAAAAAAAAAAAAATCAAAAGAGCTTGCTGGCGAATTCATCCACGCAAATCCCTTCTGTTCTAGCGGCGGTGGATTTGGAAGCCAATTGTCTGAGCTGAGCTAAGCTTCTTCCCAATTTCAAAGCCACCTTCCTTTCAAACACTTCCCCGTTTTCCCTCTTCTCCCAATCCGTCTCCTCCAGCGTCCCTCTAACGGATTCTTCCATCAGCCAAATCAACCCCGCCACGCTTCTGTACATCTCAAACACCATCCCAATTTGCCCACCGTGCTCTAACGCATTCACGGCGGCCGCCAAAGAACCGGCCGCCGCCGCCACCACCATCCCCCCGGGTGACCAATCACCCACAAAAGCAGAGCCCAAAGCCGCAATGCCGGTGAGAAGAGGGCCTGAGATTGCCAAACTCTTATGAACCTTCAATACTAAATTCCCAAGTCTGGCGTAGTCTTGAGCGTCTTTTGTCTTTATGACTTCAACAATCTCTCTCATTTCCGCCTCAAGTTCATCGCTCCATCCATTGGATCCTTGACGTTGGTTTCCATCAAATTGGGCGTTTTCGTTCTCTGTCTTGGATTCGTAAGAATGAGAAGAATTGGGCCACCATGAAGCCGGCTCGAGCGTTTTGGGGAATTTTTCAAGCATTGCACCAAGTAAAGGAAGTGGGTATGCTTTATCAAGCGCCAACACCTTTTCCATGGCGGAATCGACGTCCCTTTGAGTGGGAGCTCCAACCGTAATCAAGGTCTGGATTTGGGCTTGGAGCTGCTTGAACAATCTAGCTGCACTTCGCTGCTCCTCAGCCAGCTGTGAGGGTTGGATTTTGTTCAGCACAACCAACATCCCTGTTGCGGCAGAGAAGAGCAGAGCCGAGGACAGTTTCAAACCCAAAAGAGGAGCTCCAAGGGCTCCAACAGCGGGTGCGGCGGCGGCCATAGCGGAGGCGGTGAGAGTGATCATGTTGATGGAATTGAGGAGAAGGGAATTCCAGTTATCTCGCTGTAAGTGGAGATCGTTGTGCATCTCTACCCTGTCTGCTACGGCGTCTAAGATGTGGTGGAGGTGTGATATGAAGGGGGATTGGGCATTAATGGGTTGGTTTAAACAAAGTTGTTCAATGACGTTAAGGGAGGCAGTGGAAGTGTTTGGGAGAGTGGGAACTGAGATACGGAGATTGGGAAGCTTGGGGTCGTGAATGGCAGCAGGGGCAATTGTTCTTCTTGAAGAACAAGAGGAAGAAGGGAGGAGAAATGAAGATTGTAAGGAAGCCATTGTTGGAACAAGCTTGAAGGGTTTAGAACTGGAGTGGGAGGATATGGAATGGTGGGTGAGTTTTATAGAGGAAATTAATAAAGAGAGGAGAGATAAATCACAACTAACAAAGCAAAATCCAAACTTTTATGTGGGGGGGAAAGAAATCAAGCTTAGCCATCGTAAATGATTAATTACCTTTTATTTTCTGATTTCCTATTTCCCATACACTATAAGATTAACTTGCTTTTGAACAACTTTCCATTTGGGGATTGGAAATGAGTTCACTTGTTGCTTTATGGATGCCTTTACATTCAATATTCAAAAACCCCACCCATCTTTCAACCAAAAACTCAAATGTGAGATCCCTTCTGGATCCCGGAGGGAGGGAAATGAATGTACAAGTTCTCTTTACGCTTTTCCTTCGAGATTCACCGCTAGCCGATATTGTCTTCTTTGGGCTTTTCCTTTCGAGTCCTCTTTAGGCTCTTCCTTAACCCGTCCTTTTTAGGCTTTTCCTTCCAAATCCACGGCTAACATATATTGTTCTATTTGGGCTTTCCCTTTCGAGTCCTCTTTAGGCTTTTCCTTAACCCGTCCTTTTTAGGCTTTTCCTTCCACATCCCCCGTTAACAAATATTGCCCTCTTTGGGCTTTCCCTTTCGAGCTTCCTAAATGAATGTAACAAGTGCTCTTTAGGCTTTTCCTTCCAGATACACAGCTAGCAGATATTGTCCTGTTTGGACTTTCCCTTTCGACCTTCCATCAAAGCTTTAAACCACAGCTAGCAGATAATGTTCTCTTTGGGTTTTCCCTTTCGAGCTTCCCATCAAAGCTTTAAAACCCGTCTACTAAGAGAAGGTTTCCACACTCTTTTAAATGGTGGGACAATATCTATTAGCGGTGAATCTCGGTAGTTGGGCTTGAAAAAAAAACTAATTCAACTGAGGGGGAATGGAATGAAACAAAATAATAAATAGAATAAAAAGAAATAATAATAATAAAAAAAGAATAGGAATATGAAGAAGAAGTGAAGTGAGCTAGAACGTGGGAAGGCCACGCCTTTTGTGTCTTTCCTTTGTAAAATCCATAATTTATTTAATTAATGCTTCAACTCTCGCAAGGGGTTCGTTGGTGCTCGGTGATTACGCCCACCTTCCCTCCTCCATTGCTTCCTTCCATAACGCAACCCATCTCATGATATTTGGCCATCATTTTTGACACCTTCCATTCCATCGCTCTTCCCTCTCACGCCAAGATCCAAAATCTGCAAATCAATCCCAGTTTCATTTCTCCAAATGATTCAGCTATTGTTCACGCTGATTGCATCGGAGATGCTTCTCATACTGCTCTTCTCCTTCAAGACCCCTCTCAGGAAGCTTGTCATATTGGCCGTCGATCGGATGAAGCGCGGACGCGGTCCCATTATGGTGAAAACCGTCGCCGGAACTGTTCTTATAGTTCTCCTTTCCAGTCTTAACAGTATGGTTACGATCCAGAAACGTTGGGTTGATGACGGTGCCGTCACCCCCACCGATCAGGTTCTCATGGTCAGACACCTTCTCGAGGCCACGCTCATGGGTAAACCCAACCTTTTCATTTTCTTCCGTGTTTCGATTCAAGATTTCCGACCTATCCATGTCTTTTCCCCTCATTGGTTTCCCCGTGTCTGAATTTGGCCTTGCCTTTTAGAATGTGGATTAGTTCTGGGAATGATTTGTCTGAAATCGTTGAGGAATTGCGCCCAAATTTAGAATGCGCTCGATTTGATTTCATTTGATTAAGCGGATTTGAATTGCGTATTTAGTTTCTAATGAATTTGGTGCTGTGGTATTCTGAGCTCATCAATTCAATCTTGCTTCACTGTTTCATTAGAGTGACATTAGCTCGTTAAATCATACGCATTCTTAATCGGTCTGCTTTGGCTATCCTTATGCATTAATTTAGAGCGTTTTTGTACAGAAGGATTGAGCATCTTGCCTTCACTTTATTACATAATTAAATAGATAGTTGATGGCTCTCTTCTTAGGTTATGAAAGCTTGTTATTTCTTTCAAGAACCCTTTAGTTTTGAATGGTGAAGGAGCTTGAAGTAGGTGAACAATTTGGTTGCAGGGGGGTCTCTATTCCTGGCACTTATGATTGATAGATTACATCATTACATGAGAGAGTTGCATATACGAAGAAAAGGCATGGAAGTCATAAAAAAGCAGAGCAGAGCGATGGAGGAAGGGAAAGTTAGCAGCAAGTCAGAGGAGATCAAAGCATTGGAAGAAGAGAGAACCAACCTGCAGACCAAACTCAAACACTTGGAATTGGAACTTGAGTCGAAGGCAAAAGATGTAAGTGCTTCAGAAGCCAATGTAGTTGCTCTAAGGAAGCAATCTGAAGGATTATTGCTTGAGTATGACCGTTTAGTTGAGGAAAACCAGAACCTTCGTAGCCAATTGCAATCCGTGGATCGCAGATTGTCTCGGTCGGGCAGCAAGAAGAACTCTTAAGGAACTGAATCTCACTTCTTCAAGTACAAAGGTAAAGCACTGAAACAAGAATGGATTCTCACTCAAAACTGAAAAGAATTGTGATAAATTTCATGTTTATTATAGAGAATATCTTCGCTTCTGTCATTCCTCTGTCTGTAGCTGCTTCTTTTTTCATTATATAAATATACCATGAAGAATTTGGCCTCTCAAAAACATAAGAATACATATTCTAAGGCAGACTCTAGTCTCCAGACAAGATATTCAGCTCAAATAAACAGAGATTCATCAACATCTTCACATTTTCATGATAAATCCAAATGTTTTCAATATATCTTAAGAAGGTAACACGAATTGAACCCCCACTGGCTAGAAACACAAGAAACAAAGAACTGATAATACATAGTTTGTGATTATTAGAGAAACTATTAGTGTTCAATGATACAATTTGGTTGGAAACAGAGGACATAGCAGGCAAGTCCCTCTTCTTAGCCTTACTGCTTTCTCTACTAATACTAACGTTAATATAAGTCTGATCACCAACTCCATTTTTGGTTGCCATTTTGATGGACTGAGAGAAACAGGGCAATTCCAATACAGAGACGAACTCGCTTTGTTCTGTGTCTTCCTCTTCCATGGTAATGCTTTTCACTGTTACCCAGTCTTTGTCGCAATCCCAATTGGGTATTCTTGATGACTGAATTTTGGATATTTCGCTCAGTTGCTGTATCCTCTGCAATGGCGTTCTGTAAAGTTTTGGCATGATCGGAATTTGAACCGTTTCCGAATTGTTCATCGTGTACCATGATTCTTGCTCCAAAATACTCGTTGGTGTTCTTGAATTCTGTTTGGGTGGAGATTTCTGCTCGTGAACAAAAGGGTGCTTCAAAAGCTCACTGACAGACCACCGTTCTTCTGGGTCTCTGATCAGACACCGCCGCAAAAAGTCCTTGCCCTGGTCCGATATGAACCTTGGAACCTCCGGCAAATCATCGCCGGACCCAATTTTGTAAATGGCGGCCACCGGATCAGACACATTCACCCATGGAGCTCGGCCGGTCACCATCTGGATCACCGCGCAACCCACTGCCCAAACATCAGCTGCAAACCCCTGTTTTTCTCCACGCGCCACCTCCGGCGCCATAAATATCAGCGTTCCGGCCAAATTTCTACAGGAAACGTCCTCTACTTGCCGCGCGCAACCAAAATCCGCAATCTTAATCCCATCTTCACCAACCAAAATATTGCAACACTTAATGTCGCAATGCACCACACCATTGGTATGAACATACTCGAGCCCACTTAAAATTTCTCGAGTATAAAATTGGGCCCTCGCCTCATCTAATCGGCCACCAGCCGCCTCCATCACATCCAAAATCGACCCACCAGGCGCAAACTCCATCAAAAGATTACACATCAATTCCCCATTTTCCAACGTAACATCAAACCCCTTATAAGCTATAACACGTGGACAATTGAATCGAGAAAGAATCCTCTGTTCCCTCTTGAGACAATCCGAGCGAGTGAACTCAACAGACTTAACCGCCAGAACTTGACCAGAGCAAAGATCGGTGGCTACGGAGACCGCAGCAGAGGAGCCACGGCCTATGGTCGGACCTCTCGTCCACTCCATTGAGACGACAGAGGTCCGCATGGATGGATGAGAAGAGAAAAAGAGGGAGCCTTTCATAGCTTAGACATTCAGCGTTTGAAATGATTCAAAAATTGTTGGATGCGTAAAATTGAGTGAGCAAATTGGCAAGTTTCGTACTTTGGAAAAACTAATGAGAACAAATTAGAGGACCACAGCAAATAATTGAAGGCCTTTGTGTTTAAATAACCCAACCTCACTAATTGGTGTTATTATTATATGAAGTTCCACTAATTACAGACATTAAAGAAATAACATATACTGGTGCTCTTTCTTTCTTACTTGCTTAGTTATGAACTTCATTATGTATACATATTCTTCAAGCAGCCTCGGCAAATCCGACTCTCAATTTGCCAAAATCAAAGACTGTGTGATAGCGTCCCATGAAAACGTCTCCGAGGATCCTGCATCAAGCGAGCGCAACGTTGTTTAAACCAAAGACAAGAATCATCAGACATCAAGAAGACACAAATGGAAATACCAGAGGGGTCCACGAGGTGGAGGAATGTCCAAAGGTATGAATCCACTGATGCATTGAGCTGCAGATCCCTCACCCACCTTGAGAATATACTGTTCACAACAATGAACAAAAGCAGTGGGGTTAGATGCACTAGTTTGCGTCCAAACCACGGAACTTGATTGGCATCATATGACAACAAAAAGATGCCGAAGTGACAAACAAATTCAGGAGCAGTAAAGAAGGATTTGGGAAAAATTATACATCTTCTGCGTTAAGCTCAAAAACTTTGTCCCCAATGGTGAACGACACGGTCGGCATTTGAGAGATCCGTCCACAGTCGACCAACGTTTCTCCTTGGTTCAAATCACGATCGCATAGCTGCAGAAACATGAAACACGACTCAGCTGAAGACGATCATCTGTAGATGAGTTAGATGAAACACAAGTAACAGAAGTGGTGTACCTTATTCACATAATCAATGACATGTTCTTGAGTTTTGTTCTGCTTCAGCTCATCGTTCATCCAGGAAACCGCCATCTCACAAGCTGAGCACATGGCATCTGAGAACCCACCAGATGATCTACCTTTCTCATTCACCATACTCTCAATTTTCATACTGTTTTCCATTACCAACCGTGAGTTAATAAAAACTGATCCTTTATGCAACTCAAATCAAAAGCATGCCACTAACCTAACACCATGGGTTCCATCAAAGGTACACACCCCAATTTTGGAACATATCTTCTCTGGTTGTACCTGTCAATAGAATGTAAAAACAACACTTTAACCTGGCTGTTAAAGCTCATTACATTGCCAACAAAGTAAATGGTATGATTTACCTTGGCTAAAAGCAAATCCATAATAGACTTCCCATGTTGTGAAACAACTGCCTTGCACTCTGGACGACCAATTCCAGCTGCTCCAATGGCTCTATTAATTAATGTCACTATAGTCTGCAAAGGACAACCATTTTTCTTTAATGAAATGCGTAACATCCCGAAGGATTGTCTGCTTTGGCCCGTAACATATCATCGTCAGCCCCACGGTTTTAAAACACATCTGTTAGGGAGAGGTTTCCACATCCTTATAAGGAATGTTTCGTTCTCTTCTCAAACTGATGTAGGATCTCTTATAACTAAAGGGATCCCTTTAGTTACCATTTACATGAAGTAAAGGTTGCTATTGGAGTAGAAGTTCAAACGTCCCAAATGAACCTAGTTCTCAACTTCATGTTGGTTTTTATTGATCCGACCCTCATGTAGATAAAAGAGAGATTTAGTAGCTAAATTGAAAATATATGATACATACAGATGGGCCAGCCAACAAAGAAGTTCCAGAATCTGCAATCGCCGAGCAACCACTAGCACAATATTCTGTACATCATGTTCCTTAAGTTAGAAGCACGTTATACAAACGTGATAATCATGCTCGATATCGAGATAAGTAAATGGAACATACCAGTTGGTTTACCACCAATAAGAATATCGCCAATGTTGAACTATAAGAAAAAAACATTTGAACAATACGAGGGGCAAAAGATGAAATTGAAAGAAATGCTCAATGTTGAAAGGATTTCAAGAGCCAACCTGCCAATACCCTTTGGTTGTCACAGGCACGTATGTATGTTGGCCTTTAAAGTGCTTAGGATCAACCCCTCCAAACACAAGTTCACCTCCTTCTTCCTCCTCCGCGTTGCGATTGAGCCAAAACGAGAAAACTGGCTCCTTCACCAATTTTTGGTTAACCATGTTATACCTAAGGGACATCCAAGAGCCTGATTAAAATTCCTTAAAGAACATCATCAGCAAGAAGCAACTAATGTTATGGTTGCATTTAGCATACCATACTGGAACAGCGTCACCAGTCGAGATCTCTTGAAATCCAAGTCCCAGTATACCATCAAATTTGGCAGCAATGAATGTCATACTAGACATGCTTGTTGTCTCAATGAATTGCTGAAATTAGTCGACGTCATAATACAATTAGTCGGCCTCTTAAACTACTTTGTTAAACCCGAAAAAGAAACGGGGTAGGATTACCTGATCACGAACAACAACATCGCCGACTTGAACGTTGTCATAACTAAAGAAGCCAGAAATAGCTCCTGAACCATACTGAATAGCAGCAGATGTTCCTGTGTCATGTAAGTACACAACTTTCAGGCAATGGATATAAACAAGTGAGCTCAAAGCTATTTCAAAGGATTGTGTGATTATCAAATGATTGATCTTGCTGAAGGGCTAATTCTTATCTACAAAAATAAGCTGAAAACCACACTCGACCGCAACTGACTAGTCCTTACGAGCAAGAACGAATAGAACACGATAATCGACTTTAGGAAAGGCAAATTACTCATTCCAAACACCATCGTTGATAAATGAAATAAGATAAATTCGAACACATTATAATGAAGTGAACAAGATTTAGTTTTTGAAGACTATTGCAGGTAAAGAGAAGAAAAGCAGACCATTTCTTCTGTATGTACTCGACCGCCCTGATTGATACCTAGCATGGAAAAAGCAAGCAATCTGCATATGAAGGAAAGATAAGCATATTACTAGTCATAAACCAATCATCATTATTGATTAGAATTAAGTAATCCTCACCGAGAAAACACATTTGGAAGATGGCACCCACAAATTTGAGCTTCCAGTATCAAAAATTACAGTGAACTTTTGAGGTGGAGTGCCAATGCCAATCTCCCCATAGTATTGAGCATCCATGTAATTCTTTAATGCTACGATATCAGAGTTCTTAGATTCTCCAACATCATTAACCCATTGATCATGTTTTGATCCTAAAAATTTTACTTTCTTTGACTCAACCAATGCTTTCAGCAGAATGTTCTTATTAACTTTGATCTTTTTCAGTCCAATCCTCATCAACCCTTCATTAGAAGCAGAGGACGCAGTAGAGGAATATAATATCAAAACCAACAGGGAAACCAAGAGGGGCTTAAGGCTGTTTCCCATTGTAACCTGCAAGCACGAAAGGAAGGCTTCAAAGCTCATAAACAGAAAAGACGAAATGTGAACTCCATAGTTTTTCCTCATTGGAAATCAAGCCAAAGTAATCAAATACATTTGAAGTGCATTGGTATTCCAAACCTAAAACAGAACCACACACTCAAACAGTTCATTGATCATCCAGAAATATGATAAACAGAAAAATCATACTCAGAGAAACCAGAAACATAAGCGAAGTTGAATGCAATAGGAACCCAAAAGTAATACAGAAGAGAAGAGCAAGAATGACCCACCAAAGATTTCTGGAAGAGAGTTAAGGAGAAAGGGTTGAAGGTAAAGTAGGAAGCGAGAGGAGCTTAAATAGAAGAGCTGTCACTTCAGTCCATCCATCCCTTAGAACGAAAGGGACCCACTTACCAAGAGGGCCCCAATCGTAGAAATTCCCGTTCTTGGTAGGTTATGCAATGGCTTCATTCCAGGGATTCCCGGTTGGAGGTATCGATCAGATTCAGAAGCATCAGTTTACTCGTTTCATAAAGTTGTATGCGGCACGGCAGTCTCGTTTATGGACACTAAATCAGTTAAAAAGGCATACAGATAAAATGGAATCCATCATTTCTCACACTTCCACACAAGATAATCAAAGGCATCACGAAAAACATACCATTTTATGCTTCATTCACAAAATATATTTTAACTTTCAATACACCTTTTTTTTATTTATACACTTCAACCACTTATAAACTTGTTATTTAACCTTTGTTTGAGAGTTCAAATCATATCTACTTTGTTAACAAAATAATTAGATTGAGTTTGATTACCATGTAAGCCAAACAATCTATATATGGTTCAGAAAAAGAAATGGGTAAGTAATAGTTTGAGTAAATAACAAAAATTAATCTTTTTTCAAAGATGCCTTTATTGAAGAAAGTAGTATTTTTGGATGAAATTAAGGAGGGAATAAAAGATTTAAGTGTGAGATGTAATGGGATTAGGAGGAATAATAAAATAGGAAAATGGAGAGAGGAGTAGGTTGCTTATAAGCAATTGTATGCTAAAAGATGGTTGATGGGTGCACGTTATAGGTAGCTTCTACTAAGGACCAAATAATGCTCATAACATCTCCTTTTCATTTTTATACTTCATTTAATTACATATTTAAACATCTTTACATCACTTTTTTTGACATATATATCTATATATATTCTCCTCGAAAATAATCAAATCATATCCAATTTTTGATTTACTATGGTTTTCGAATTTAATAAATTCTATTTATATAGTTTGGTTCGGGTATTTTTTTTTCACGTCAATTCAATTCTTAAATTAAATACAATTGAAATATATCGTATGCTTGTTGTCACAAGTGATCCCCACATGGCTGCAAGCAATGCCTATCCAGCCACGCGAGGGCTAGTGTCATGACGCAATCAAGGAGGATAGTGTATCATTTAACACACTACACAAAATGAAGTATTGAAGAGAGAATGAGGCATAAGCAAGACAGGGGCAAAGGAGTAGACAAGAGTGTTAAAGATGGGCTTGTTGACGGGCTAGGTTGGGCCTTAGGCTTGAACTTTGAAAGTTGAGGTTCCGGAACGAGTTTGGACATGCGACTCTTCTGTTAAATCCGTCCATATGAAAGATGGAAGCTCGCTAAATTTGGTGTCAATTAGACACCGAACGGACGCTTCACAGGACTATGTGTCCGTTCACCAAAATCATGTCTACGCACTCCCATATTGGAAATGCCTCAAAATGTATTGGAACGAGGCATGATGTCAGTTTTCCATCACCCCTAGCCCCTATGGCCCAGACAAGTTACCCTGTAGCACATATGTGTGTCAAAGTGAGGGCGAGCATGTGACTTCCTTTCAAATGGGTCTTTTAAGGACTGTGTCGGACGACATGAGCATACCAACATCACGCCTATCCCATGCGTCGGAGGTTGCATCGTACATCCATTATCCAGTACAGAGTTCATAAATGATATAACATGGACACACGAGAGTCCAATATCTCGATAGAATCTAAATAGATGATGTTCGGGATGTCTCGATATTATGAACAATACGTGGACCCATTTGATGGCATGACCGAATGAGCTGTGATGGCTAATGAAATCTTGTGACGTCAAGGCATGTGGACCATGTTAATTGTGAACCAAATTTAAGATGCCACGTTGCAAATGAGAGACCTTGGTTCAGAAAATTTAAAATATTATATGAAAATAAAATAAAAACATTAATAAATATACAATATTTAAAACACAAAATTAATTAATAAGAATATTTAATGGGTGACTATTGATAATTTTGTGATTTATTAATATAATATAAAATTACATATTGAACGGCTGTTTGAACGAGATCGTAATTATATTCGTCTACAAAATATAATTCTATTTTCAATAAAGTTTTTATTAATTTCACATTTTTATTTTCAGATTGGAGCAAAAAAAAAAATGGCAAGGCCCGACTGTTTATAACTAGCGATCCAGTGGGCCGTGTATTGACAACAATTAATTAAATGAATTGGGCCGAGCTGTGGAAATTCGCGGCCCAATACGAAAGGAAATATATGTGCGTGAGATAGATCTATATTTATAATTATACAAGCAAAGATGCTGCCAATAAAAAAAATTAAAAAAGAAATTATGAATTTTCCAATATAGATAAAATTTTATATAAAATATTTTTAGGCAGAAATGTAATAATATTTTGATACAATTTTCATAATTTTTAGTGTAATTTATAAAGCTGTGGAGATTCAGAATTAGAAATTAATTAACAAAATGTATTACCTTAGGTATTAATAAAAACAATAAAGTAGGTTTAGTTGGATAAAATTAATTAGATTACTGAATTGAACAAAATGAAAGGAATATAAGCTTAGCAATAAATGGGTAGGTGGTAGGTAGCTGGGTAGATTTGATCAATAAATGGACATATGTTACTAAAATCAAATAAAAAAACTTATTAGTTTATGTTATAACATAAAGTTCTCGTGATTAATGTTGGATGATGAAAGTCCCACATCCGCTAATATAGGGAATGATCTTGAGTTTATAATCAAATAATACTCTCGTGAGACCTTTTGAAAAAACCCAAAGCAAAGTCATGAGAGCTTAGGCTCAAAGTAGACAATATCATATCATTCTGGAGAGTCGTGTTTATCTAATAATTAATACGAGTATTCTTTTTGCATTCCTCTATATTATCCTGTTTAGTTTTTTAGCAGGGGTGTACATGGGTCGGGTTGGTTGGATTGGCAACCCAACCCGAAACTTTTCACAACCCAACGCTCTATTTTCGGGTTGAGTTTTATCCACAATTTATAATTATTCAAATACCCAAAACTTTTCACAACCCAAACCAGTATTTTTCAGTTGGTTCGGTTTTATCCCCAATTTATAATTATTTCGATACCCCAATTTACAATCCAATCCTCTGTTTTCGGGTTTGGTTTTATCAACGATTTATAATTATTTGGATACAATATTACATAAAATATATTAAGAGTGGTTGAGTTTTATCAGCAATTTATAATTATTGGAATAGGTTAGAAGTGGTTGGGATTATCCAATTTATAATTATTCCCATAAATCTTAGATAAAATATATTAAAAGTTCATAAATATTTGGTATTGTTATCACTCTCACAAATCCATTAATACAAGAGAATTCTTAATATATTTTATATATTTTTATTTGTCTCGGGTCAATCGAAGGTTTTGCTCATAAACTCGAACCGAACCGATTCAGTTTAGGTTTAAAAAAATAAACCAAACTCTAATAGTTTGGATCAGGTTGGTCTAAGTTGTCGGGTTTAATATACACTCTTCTTTTTTTTTTATGGTTTAAAATAGGGAGGATTCGAAGTATGTGAGAATATATATTATGAAAGACAAAGGACAAATCCATTGACTAACAAACGCCCATCCATCCATATCATTCATTTCTCTCTCATCATATACTTACACCTAACTTTTATTTATTTTTATTTTTTTTTACTACTTTCTTTAATATTTATTTATTTTTATTTTTTTTACTACTTTCTTTAATATTTATTTATTTATTTATTACTCTTCACGCAAACTTCAAAATCTCACATACAAAACAAAATACTAAAAACTCCAGTAACTCAATCGCTAACCCATTCAATTATTAATTTCCTTTTAGATATTATTTGAGAAGCTCATTCTATAATTAATTAAAATTTAGATTAAGTCATTAATAATATGTGATTAAAAATGGAGAAATGATTGTACGGAAACGAAACTTGTGGTATTTTTGTGACAAAGCACACAGAAAACAGAGTAAAGACAGATTAAAAGAAAAAAGGGGAGCTGTGTCGACAACCCAAAGCGGTTTTACAGAACAATCAATAATTACGTAGAAACAGTACAATAAATTGAAGAAGACATGGAAAAAGAAAATGAATATTATTAGAAATAAAGAAATAAAAATAAAATTAGGAATTGAGATTCACATGGGTGCATGTGCATTGAAACAAGTACAAAAAGTGTGGTGGATAAGTTAATTGTATCCATTTTGGCATTAATTCAGTACATGTTTTTAAGGTTCCAAATTTTGTTAGGAATTACAAATTATTTTTACGTGTGGAAATCGGGTTGGCCGATTTTCTTGACTAACCAACAAGACTTGCTTCAGCTTTCTTGTTCAAACTTTTTGAAATTCATATCAAATATATATATATATATATTTTTTAATATTTCGCTTTCCCGTATATATAATTTTATTCATAATGAAACAATTGGAAAGAATAATAATAATAATGCCGTGTTCTAAGTTTTTCCCCCAATTTTTTTAATTTTTTTTTCTATAAAAAAAGAAAGCAGAAAAAGTATGGACATGTTTGAAGTAAAGGAAAAAAAAAAAAAAGATTAAAGAGACAAAAAATACCGACTCCCACTAGGGAATCAGGACAAATGAAAGAAGAAACGGAACTCTGTTGGGTCTAATATTATTTTAATTTCCAGGGAAACTGCTAATTTTGCTGTTGTTGTCTCCGTTGTTGTTGTTGTTTGTTGTGGTATTGGTGGTGGTGGTGCTATTATTATTCGAATGTGCTCCGCCGATGATGGAGGAGATAGCGGCTGCGAGAGCGGCGGTGAAATTCGGATCAGCGGTGATAGCGGCGGTGGCGGCACTCAACGTATCGGCAAAAGAAGCACCACCAGACTGGGTTGTGGGCGCCGGTTGTGCAATTTGGGGGTGACCCAAATGAGGGGAATTAGCCCCCATCTCATGAGATAGCTGTAGCCCTGAGAATTTTGACTGATTGTACAACGGTTGCCCCAAAACTTGGGCGGCGGCTAACGGTGGTTGTCCGCCGGGGAATGGCAGGTGGAAGGGTGCTGCCGGGGGTCTTTGGAAT